AAAAAAATAAGAATAAAATAAAATGCGCAGGACAGTATACTGTAGACTTAATAAATATTAAGATGAGCAGGAATATACAAGAGAAGAATGTGCAAACAGGTTGTACAGGGTAGTTACATAGTAGCAATAGAGGTAAAAAAGTAAAGAAATAAAATATTACAGAAATTGCTGTGTGCAAGTGACAATGTCAGTATATTAAGTGTCTTACTGATAATTAAGTGAAGTCATGTTGGTGTTAAGAGACTGAGTTTGAGTGTAGGAGCCTGATGGCCTGGGGGAAGAAGCTCCTCCTAATTATGTTAATTATTATTTGTTTATTTTATTAATTATGATTTTTACTTGTACTTTTATTAATTATGATTTGTTTATTTTTATTCAAATGCATAGGCTACATATTTCATTTACCAACTGGAGAATTTGTCAATATCATTGCATCATGATGAAACATCCTGAGATTTCAAAATGATTCTTATCTCTGATTGGGAAACATTACAAAGATGTCTAGAAATGTCTACGGGTTCGAAAGACAGGACACCTAAATCAGATTCTGACAAACTGAAATCACTTACACAGTTAGTACTGCAAATCAATGCTAAACTATGTCCTGACATGGGGTTGTTAAATGTGACCTAAAATTCAATCCTCTTGTTTTAACGGTTCTCTTCTCACTACAGAACAAAATGTACAGTAACCAGCTAAAACCAATTGAAGCACACATAAACAGCCAGCAAGATCATCTACAGGAGCTGACATCTCAGAACCAAGATCTGTGCAGCCAGTTACAACAGAGCAGACGGTTTTCAACTGTTCAATACAAGGTAACACCACACCTGACATCATCTGCTATTTGACAGTCTGGAGGTGTCTAATTACAGTGTCATTTACCCTCGCTGACTTCCTTTAGGCTAAATTAATCCTGGTCTGTACAAAGAGCATCATTAAATTTCTCTCACTCACCTCTTAAAGGTATATTTTAGGTTGAGCACAAGTTAAGCGTAGTCGACAGCATTTGTGGCATGAAACCACAAAAAGTTATTCCCAATTGTCTGCATCAAAAAAGCAAAAATCTGGGTTACAGTGAGGCACTTACAATGGAAGTGAATAGAATAAAATACTAAAACACTGTTTCAATTGTACAGCCACAAGACGTAAACAATATTATCATGATTCTGGTGTGAAATAACATTGTTCCGTGTAAAGTTATATTCAATTTTAAAACTTTGTGACCATGACAACACAATGCCATGAACACTAAAATATGATTTAAACAGCTTTACAGTCAAATAATACACAAGTTTTAACAGAATAATTAATCTAAGTGCTTTTATGGAATTTGAAACTACACATTTTTGCTTTTAAAACCTCCAAATATTAGTCCCATTTACTTCCATTGTAAGTAACCAAATTTGTTTTGTGATTTTTGTGATAATTAATATTATGCCAAAATGCAGTCTATTGAGCATATAACTAGCAACCTGGAATATTCCTTTAACTCATTTTCTGACTGACTGACAGTCACTGACAGAGGAAATGAAAGCACCTCACAATATACAAGCCTTTTCCATGAGCTCTAATCACAGTCCAAAAACAAAAACATAGTTCATTTGTAAAGCTCAGATCAGCGACTGTTCCATTTATTCATCACACATGACATATGACACACATGTGCAAGAGTGGCCTGTCTGTTGATCACCCAAACAGCTTTGAGGGAACCGGTATCTTCTGCTTTTCTAGAAGCAGATCTATGATAATATCTTTCTCACTCTGCTGGCCAAATCTTCAGATGCTGGCGTAGTTCACACACTCAGACCAGGCCTCCACATTGCACTTGTCTATCAGCTCTTTTATGCAGAAGTGATTTTGCAAGAAAATGCCAACATTGTATCTCACTTTACAGTGATGTGAAACAGACAACTGCTTGCATTAATGTCACTGCAAAAGAGTTCTGCACCGTATGGGCTAGTCTGGTGCGATGGTGGTAGACAAAAAGATTCGGATGAGTTTAAGTCTAATTTCAAAACACTGAATGTTACTTTACTGCTCATATTGTGACTCCAATTGCTGTGCTTCAGTGAATTTAAGAGGTGTTTACCTTTTCCCCAGCGAAAAGAAAAGCAGGACAAAGAAGCAGCAAACTTGACCATCATTGCAGTTCTTCAAAAGCAGATCACAGAGTTACAAATTCAAGTATGTTTGACCTTTTTCATTTCATGGCACATCAGTTTCTCTTTTTGCACTTCAATAGGCCCAGCAGTGTACTTATCCACAGTGTTGGGGGTAATATATTACAAGTAATGCAAGTTACGTAATCAGATTACTTTTTTCAAGTAACTAGTAAAGTAACACATTACTTTTTAATTTACAAGAGAATATCTTTCTTACATCTTTTTCTTCATCTGTATTCTACTGTACGGACGTAAATTTACTTTCCCTTCAGCCTGAGATTAATTTCACTTTTGGTGTGAAAAGGCTTTTATATTTGCTAAAAATAGAACTTTTTTATTTTAAAATCAAACAAGCAAGCCCTGTCCAGATTTAAAAAGTAATGCAAAAGTAACGTAACGCATTACTTTCCATAAAAAGTAACTAAGTAACGTAATTACTTAGTTACGCAATATTGTAATGCATTATTTTTAAAAGTAACTTTCCCCAACACTGCTTATCCATAGCTTCACAGACTGAATGTCAGTTTTGCTCATGAGTGATTGGACAATCAGTATTTATGGTCATTTTAGCTAATTCACAAATGAAAAGTAAAAGTCTGTCGTTTAAGGGTTAAATCACCCAAAAATGAAAATTACTTATCAGTTACTCACCCTTAATGAGGTTTGCTATCATGTGTCAAGCAAGTATGTTTAATGCTTCTGTTTACCGTATTTGATGTGCTCTATGTATGTGTGTTGATCAGTGTTTATATGTTAAAATATTTAATCTGTTCATCATAAAAAGTGATCAATAGACTTGGATTAAACCGCTCCAATTAATATGGATTACTGTTGCAATGTCTTTATGAACTCATACAAAATCAACAAAATCAACTTTTGAAAGAAATTCGACTTTCAGTGGAGGGACAGAAATGTCTCAGGTTTCATTAAAAATCCTCATTTGTGTTTTTTTGAAGATGAACAAACGTCAGGCTCAGAATGACATGACGATGAGTAATTAATGACAGAATTTTTATGCCTTTTGAAGGTTTAAAGCAGGGCTGCCCAAACTCGGTCCTGGAGGGCCGGTGTCCTGCAAAGTTTAGCTCCAACCCTAATCAAACACACCTGAACCAGCTAATCAAGCTCTTACTAGGCATGCTAGAAACTTCCCGGCAGGTGTGTTGAGGCAAGTTGGAACTAAACTCTGCAGGACACCGGCCCTCCAGGACCGAGTTTGGGCACCCCTGGTTTAAAGTTTCGATGATACAGAAGTAGCGACAGTTTTTTTTCAGTATTGTGACGTACATCTGAGCGTGAAGGCCTGTCCAAACCAAAGACGATAACTATAACTATAAAGTTTTAATAATCCTTCCAATTCTATGAGAATAGAAAAGTCCAACACAGAGGAACAATATAGTCTGAATCACTTTAATACATTTTTACCAACTGATGAATGATAGAAACATTGACACCCAATCAGAATCTACTCAACATTAAAGAGCATAAGAATGTAAAACAGTGAACAACAGAACCTTATAAAAACATCTTTTGGGGTGGACGATAATATAGTTATCATAATTGTTATCTTTCTATTTATCGTTCTTGGCATGAATGGGCCTAAACCTTATGTAAAAGAAAAAATGTAGAGTGAGGATATTTCTATCGGAGTTATAACATTTTACGAGGAAAAAAAAGAAGAAAGAAACATATATATATCACACATTCAGTTATTTTACATGTACAAATCCAGACATATTGCAAACTGGTATTTGTTATCATATTATTTTAATTTATCATTATAATCTTAAACACACTGGTTTGTAGTTCAAATAGTTTTACAGTTTACTGCACTGTTATTTGCCTATTGTGCTTAATGAAGTGGAAGTCTCACACATTCACAGAAAATAGCTTACTTCCGGATAACAAGCAGTTACAAAATAGACAGGGTGAATTTTAATTTCATGATTACTTTAAGCAAGGAAATTCAACTGCAGCTTATTCTGAGATGTAAAGATTTTCTAAATTTTGATTGTCACTTGCTAGCCACATGTTTTACACATCTTGTCAAGCCGAGGTGGTGCACCCAGACAAATAAATCTTCCAGTAAGACCGCAGATTACAATTAGACTGTGTTACTGTGTCAGAAGCTACATAGTGAAGCTAATACACGTATGAGCATGCTAATGCTAGGTACTGCAGCACATCAAGGCACAGAGGAACCAAAACGAAACTTCTGACATGAAATGAAATTAGTCAAATACACGTGTCACAATAAGCCATCAGAGCCATGATCACGCACGCATGCTGTGGAGCCAAACTTCTCCTTATTGAGAGAACATTTTCTCAAATAGCCACACAATGGCCAGGAAACTCTTAGCACCTCTCAACACGTCTGCCTCCATGTGATTTGTAGCACCCCACTGTTCAGTAGATTTACAACCAGAAACCCCGACGTGCAGGTTCACGATGAGCATAGCTGATTACAAAGATAACGGAAAACCTCCTCCCATTGTAACCGGTTAACCGTGCTGCCTGGTTCATTATTGTCTTGCCACATAGCATTGTCAAAAAGGTGCTAGTGAGATAAACTGCTGTTCACATGGTGCAACAAGAAGAGAATAAAGCCACGTGACAAACAATCAGTCTGTAGCTAACATATATGTGACCCTGAACCACAAAATCAGTCATAAGGGTCAATTTTTCGAAATTGAGATTTATACATCATCTGAAAGCTGAATAAATAAGCTTCCCATTGATGTATGGTTTGTTAGGATAGGACAATATTTGGCCGAGATACGTCTATTTGAAAATCTGGAATCTGAGGGTGCAAAAAAATAAAAATAAATATTGAGAAAATCGCCTTTAAAGTTGTCCAAATGAAGTTCTTAGCAATGCATATTACTAATCAAAAATTAAGTTTTAATATATTTACAGTAGGGAATTTACAAAATATCTTAAAGAAAAAGAAATGATCAATATTTATGAGAACTTTTATTTGAATATATATATTTTTAAATTCTTTAGAATTTATAACAACATATAAAATGAATAAACAATTGATGAAACCTACATCTTTTTCTAATGAAAACAATATTAACAAAATATATTAATTTTACTTGAATAAACTCCTTTTTCAAATTTAGACTACTTGGCATGAAAACCTTTGCTCTACAACACTTCAGGCTGCAGTTCATTTGATATACTTTATTTGCGATGTCACTTGCATTTATTATCTGTTTATAGTGCTTTCATATTTAGCAATAAAATTCAGTCCTAAAAGTGGGAAATATTAAAAAATGATTTTTATTTTATAATTTATATTCTATTCTGTTATTTTTGTAATTTCTATTAAAATAATACAAATATTTAAATATTTAATATTTGAATAAATATTACATATTTTTTACATCCTTTTTTATTATTTGAAAAAAAATAAATAAAATGAAAAAACTTTCTGCATTTTTAGATTTTCAAAAAACTTCATTCAGTATGATTTATAAGGTTGTTTCCTCATGGGGACCTGTCCCCACAAGGTCCAAATTTACTGGTATTACTATCATTGTGGGGAAATTTGCTCCCCATAACGTGATAAATACCAGGTACACACACACACACACACACACACATTTCTTAGGCATCTTTTAAAACCAATAAATTGTTTAATTCCTAGATGGATATTTTTTCCCAATATGAAGAAGTTTGATTTTACAGAGAGAAACTTTCCTGTAGTTTTGATTCTAATGCAGAAATTTGCCCATGATGTTTCCTACTCTTCCCTATCTGTAGCGAACAGAAACACTGTCAGTGGTTTGAGGTCTGGTGAGAAACTGCCATTATCAGAAAACCTGTAGGTGTGAGCGCCCCTAAACACCTCCTGCTTGCTGACTGATTTTCTGTGGTTTCGGTGGCAAGGGGAGCCAGTCTGATTAAATTAGATGGATTCTTATTTCTCATAATCTGGTTTGTTACTGATAGCATTGTGTTTAGCTCATAAATGTTGTAGTCAAAACTCTTTGGGAGATTGTGTTAGAGTTCTGTGATAGCTAGAAGTTCTCATATCAGTCTGTACTGATGTAGAAATATAATGCTGTTGTGTTTTAAACAGCAATAGGAATGTATGCATTCTCAACGTTAATTCCCACATGCGTGGTTTTGAATTGAGAGATGTGTGTGGCTATGATCAACATCTCCTTATTTAAAGAGCTGCTAAGCCATGTGCCATCTCTGATTGCTCTCTGGTTGAGCTGTAGTCTCAAATTTAGAAATAACACTCTAAAAAAAAGATGGTTCTTTAAAGGTTCTTTACATGCAGTAATGGTTTTATTTAGAACCATAGCATTCTGAAGAACCCTTTTATGCTGAAGTGCTCACATACTACTTTTGGCCTTCATAAACAATTGTTTTGACAAACAAATTAAAATAGACAAACTGTATATCTAAACTCAGTTGTGCATTTCAGATGCTGTCAAATCCTACAACCTCATCATCTGCAGAGAGAAACTGCCATTCAATCACAACAAAATACAGATAATAATTAACTTAAAGGCATCATAGAGGGTTGTGAAGATATTTCACTGGAGCTTGGTCTTCAATACACTATTTTATGTTCTATTTTGTTTTATTTCTTTAAGCAAACAATTGTTTTCACAATGAATTGTCATTCATTAATGTATTCTGCTATTAACTGTTGTTAGAACACTGTCATTTGTGCTAGAGTTTCACGTAAAAAAGTACCTGACAAGTTGTTGTTGTTGTTGATTTTATGTAAAACTCTAATAGACACTTCAAGATATTATAAGACCAGGCAGATAGAGGGGTAAAAAAACAATATTAATAAATAATGTATACAAATAATACTATGATATTAACATACTAATATTAATGAAAAACTATCATTAAAAAGGTATATAGCAAAACCTATATAGCATTTTCAAAGCATGGTTCTATATGGAACCCTATAAAAAAGGTTCTATTTAGCACTAAAAAGGGTTCTGCTATTGTTACAAGCCGAAGAACCCTTTTCTGGTACTATTTAGAACCATTTTTCTTAAGAGTGTGGTCGTGAAAGCTTGTATACGTCTCATTCTTTCTTCTCATAAAAGTGAACGCTCTGAGAACCTTGAAACCTCAAACCATTATCACGGCTACTTTATGCAGCTATTTCAATCACGTACTCACTAAAGAGATGCAGAAAGTCTCTGCCATAGAAGAAAGCAGAGAAAGAAAAAAATACGTCAGTGTTTCAGAAGTATTGACCTATTGCTGCAGTCATAGTGTCTGTTCAAGTCTGTCTTTGGTTTCCTGTTCTTGATGTGAGGAGGTTTGTCACGTTTACACTCTGTGCTGAGATAGACTGCGTCTGTACTTTGACTTCGCATTTGCTCTTTATACTGCTATTAGCTTTAGTCTTGAAGGACTGAAGACAGAGGACAAATGAGTTGGACTTTCATCATAACATCAATTCTAAGTAGACCACGGTAGCAGAATATTAAAAACATGTTTAAATGTTTAAATAAATTTGAATACATAATTAATTTGAATTCATTTTCATTTTAAAACATAATTTTAAAAATAATAGAAAATAAATACATAAATAAAATGAAAATAAATACAGTTAAAAATGAAAACAAATAAATATTTTTTTAAATGCATTTAAATTAGAATAATTAGTCATCCCATTATTATTGTTATTCATTAAAAAAACACTTACTATATTACTATATATTCAACAAAACCAATCTCTAAGACAGTGAATGCAAATATCTGACTCTACATGTCACTATGCTATCTGCAAAGACACACTAAATCTATAACTAGGCCTGCAACAGAATATTAAGAATTAATAGACCTATCAAAGGCAAGATAATAGATAAAGAAACAAAAATGCACTATGAGGATTTTTTTTTTTGCCTAAATATGTGAGACATCTTTTTTCACTTTCTGTGGCAATTGTGGTTAATTGTGGTAATTCTGCATATGCATATGTCAGTGTAGACACATTAGTGCTGTGTGCCTTAAAGAGACAGTTCACCTAAAAAATGAAAATTCTGTCATCATTTACTCACCCTCATGTCATTCCAAATCTGTATGACTTTTTCCTTCTGTGCAACACAAGAGAAAATATTTTGTGTTCTGCAGAAGAAAGAAAGAAAATCATACAGGTTTGAAACTATGTGCATACGATATTTTTGGATGGATTATCTCTTTAAAGCTTAAGTGCCAATATAATCATGCCTTAAATGTTAGGTTCTGTATAATGTTTTCAATCAGAATGATTATGTAGTCTTTGTGTAATACAGGATTGATCTAATTCTTTACAGATTCAAAGCCTCTCCAAACATACTATGTTTTCTCAACCCGCACCGAGGCCTTCCACATCCACCTCTCGGAAGCACAATGACACCTAAAAATGGACAGCTGCCCTAACGTCCCGTCATCCTATCTCCAGAAGCACGCCATCCGGTGAGACACTGAAGATGTTCTATTAAGAGCGCTACCCACAGCTGCAGTGTCCACTATGAGAGAGTCTTCACAGCCCCAGCTTTTAAACATGCTGCAACACTTTGAGTGTCATGAGCAGAGACACACTGTGACAGTTTTGCCATTAACACTTGAAAGTGACAGCAAGATTTCTCATTCTTAGCAAAAAAAAAAAAAGTTGTTAAATGTCTTAGATCTAACATTCAAGTAAACATCACAAAGCACTTAGTACTGTCACACTGTAAAAGAGGTTTTAGTCATGGTCAGCCGCAAGTATCTTAATGCTGGATACCTGTACTGAAAATCCGACTGATTGAACAACAGTGATTTCAGCCAAATGAATCTCTATTTGACCCAGTGTCACTGGAATTTATAGTGTTTTAGCCTCCAGGATTTCTCTCTGCTGTTTCAAATGTATAAGGATTTGATCAACTTTATGTCAGTGTCAGTAAATAAATCAATATGCAGTGAACAGCACATATGTAATGCACTGAAATATCAGTTCATTTTTAAACAATTTTCACACTGTGTACTATGATCAATGGTATAGTGATAATAATATAAGATTATTTAATCATTTTAATCTGTCTTTTCTTTTATTATTTTCTCTTTATGTTCTTCTATAAAACCTATGTCTCAAATCTACAAATATAATTAAAAAATGTATTTTAATTCGAAATCGAAAACACGTTCATCATAGAAGAGGTGTATTCAAGTCATTGTATGTATGGATTGCATTTGAATGTATTTTTGAAAATACAATAACACCCAGCGTTGGCTGAAATGTTATTTCTGTAAGAATAATTGCAGAAAACCACACCTGGGGCAAATATAAAATCGTCCCACATAGACAAGAAGCCAAAAATCCTAATGTGATTTAGATCACTATGGGCGTCTACAGTAATCAGACTACATCATAACATGCAGTTCATAGAACAACCATTTAGGTTCTTTTTCAACTGGCATTCAAATGCATGGAGTTGTCGCTGCAGGCACTTACAAAAATGGGGTGAAATGTTTGTGAGACACGATCAAACACGGTCGCGTTCAGGAAGTTAAAATGTGTATTTAAGGCGCGTGTTTGCGCGGAGGCAGGTCGAGCGCAGCAGTCATCAGTAGCGGAGCACAACAGCGCAGCGCAACAGGTGAGTCCCGTCCTGACTCAGGACAATCAGTTTAGACCGACAGCGTGCAGCAGACTTTAATCTTGATGGATGCCTTACTTCTCTTACCTCGATTTCTAATTGCATTTTCATTCGAATAGAAGGCAGGTGTCATAACTTAAAAAATTCGCTTTGGATAAAGTTTCAGTTATCTTGACGCATTGACCGAGGTACGTTTTAAGAAATCTTCGTGTCTGCACATACTTTGCTAGGTAGGCTAATTCTAACTTTATGGAGAAATTTTAAGAGATAGCCTACTAGTAGTCACACACTTAGAGTGTGCACAGCCGGTGCGCCAAAGTTTTTCCCATTCACAGCCTGACTGGTAGTAGTTCAACATCACTAAAGCCAGTTTATACAACCTCCGCGTTGGTCTTTCAATGTTGTTAAATTTGGATTCAGCTGCAGACAGAACATTACATTGCCTAATGCAGGAGTTTTCAAACGGGGTCCGGGGACCCCCATGGGGCGCAAGGGGGTGCTAGGGGGTCTGGGGAAAATGTCAGATTAAAAGAAAAATGTAAAATGAAACGGAAAATGGAAATTAAACAAAATGGGAAAGGTAACATTTTATCAAAATGTAACAATATAATGATTTTATATTGCTTTCTATAGACTAATCTGAAATAATGAGAAGAATCACTATTTGATTCTTTCGATAGGCCCAGTTTTAACTTAGCATAAGAAATAAAAAGCATGTGCTTTTGTGAAGCATACACTTGTTATTTATCATATTTTATTTTTATTTGATTATTTATAGTTATCGTTCCTTCCTTTTTCATGCGTATAAGGTAGCCTAAAGATATGTTGTACATAGGCTATTGCATCATATTATCTCTCCTTTATCTTGTTTATTGCTTTCAAGGTATAAAACTGCTTTGGAGCAGTATTTTTGTAAAAAGTGTTGCTATACAAATAGCATAGGCTACTTAATTAAAAATGTTTCTTCTCAGGTTTAAGTCAACAGAAAAGATATACATTATGAACTACAACTTAAATATTTTCAAGATAACAGCTATGATAATAATTTCTTTTGGCTTTAGTACAATACAAAAGCCAATTATTTAATTGTGAATGTAACATGTATGCATGAAAATATAGCTCATGTTCATGGATGCTGAACAATTGTCCTAAATGAATGGTCACGATTTATAAAAAAAAAATTCGCCGTTTTCCAACAGAATTACGCGATCAGTAGAGGTAGTAGCCTATAATGCCGTGACACATAGCTAGGCTATATAAATGCACAGAGAACAACCAATTAAATATTTTCTTTAGCTAGCCTACTACTTAAGTTTTCTATTAACTATGATATTAGCCCATAACCTGAACAACATGTCATTGTGCCTGAGACAAAAATAAAGGTGCTATTCATAATTCTAACCTTTTCAAATAGGCTTAAATGATCGTCTTAATTTAATAACACGGCCTTATTATTAGGGAAATAAATATATAGTGTTAAATGCTTGTTGAAACTGTTTGTACTTGCATTTGATGTTCCTTAAGTCTCGACATCAGGTGATTAACGACTAAAACAAAACCAAGTAGTTATTGGCAATGATACCCTGGGCTCCATTGCAGGCCGTGGAAGTGACGTGAGGTTGGTAGGCTATATCACGCTGACAGAGGATCAGTTTACTAAACAAGGCTTTGAGATCAAGTTGCCAAGAGGGAGCCTATAACAAAGTGTGCCGTGGAGTGCCTCGACTTCAAATCGTTTTTGCTTTATTTGGGAGGTTTTGATTGCAAAAGGCTGCATGGTAGAGATTTGACAGACCAATCCTATTGAGTTCTGTGAAGATCAGGTGCACAGGTGCACATTTCTTCACACCGGTGCTCTCGATCTAAATCCATTTTGCTCCATTTTTAGGCAGGATTGGAGAGCCGTGAGTGATTGTTGACCCTGAACCTGATAACGGAGAGTAAACATGCCGAGGTCATTTTTGGTGAAGAGCAAACGAGCGCACAGTTATCACCAACCCCGTTACCTGGATGACAACTGCATCCCAATTGAGAAACTTCTCACATGCCAAGGTACGAACTATAGGTCCAAATTAAAATAGCTACTATAGTAATTTATAGTAAATACTAAAGTGTTTTTGAACCATACTGTAGTAAAGTGTATTATACTGTATAGTATTTACAACACTTTGTTAATGAATGCTACAGCATACTGTAGTATTAACTATAGTGAACTGATAAACTGTAATAAATACTGTGGTATACTTTAGTTTTTACTACACTGTAGTGTATTGTAGTAAAATATTCCCTATAGTTGTAGAAAACTTAGTACAGTATTGGGTACAGTAATTTGTTTGTATTACTATATTTGTTATATTACCACAGCAACTATAGAATTACCACAACAGATTAATTCAAGTACTTTACTATAGTATGGTTCAAAAACACTATAGTATTTACTATAAATTACTATAGTATTTTTTCATGTGGGTAGTAATCAGGCATTGAAAAACGTTAATTAAAATAAAGATGGCTAATGCATTGTGAATTTTATTGGGTTTAGAAAGTCAAATGGGGCAGATCCCCGAGAGCCCGGTGGAGGTGGGTAATCATTCCCCTAAGGCCAGCATGGTGTGCACAGCGGATCATTCCTCTCAGCAGTCCCCGCTGAGCTGCGAGGGCAGTGTGTGTGACCGCTCATCCGACTATGAGGACTTCTGGAGACCTCTGTCATCGGGAACCTCTCCAGGTTGACATGTCATTCTCTCTCACTCTCAAAAAAGTTACAAAACTGTCACTGTGGCGGTAGCCTATACCTTTCAAAACAAACATGTACACAGTAGATAGCCTATTATGCTGGCTACTTAATGTGTAGGCTACGTTAGTAGCCTACCAATAACCTACACACCTTTGCTAAAATGTAGGCTAGCCTACCATTTAGGGTTAAATAAGGCGTAACCTAGCTTGCCTACCTTTTATATAGGGTACCGACACTTTGACAGCTTTGTAACATTTTTTTGGGAGTGTATCGATTTTACAGTTATGAAAACGCTTGTGCACAATACTCATTACACTTTCCTTTCAAAACATTTCACTCTAGATCTGGATAAATGCCCGGTGTCTTCTCCAGATGACTCTCAGCCCTTCGACATGACTTTCCGTCCGTATGTTTGGGCCCATTCAACATCCGAACTTAGACACCTCATTCAATCCTGCAACCGTGTTTCTGTGGATTCAGACATGGACAGAAGACCGGGTGCCCATCTACTCATTGAACCAACACAATCCGGGCGATTTTACCAGGACTATGGCTCTCTGACCACTAATTTGTTGGACAAAAGAGGCTTTTATGCCGACATCAAGATGTCAACTAAAGCAGCAGAAATTGACTCAGAGTCTGATATTATGTGCACGCGTCTTCAGCCAAATGGGTCGTACAAATGCGTAAAATGCACTAAGGTATCAACATTTCTATTATTTAGTGACTTCTAAAAATATATTTCTAGGCTATAGGCTATTTCTATCAGCAGCTTGTCCTTAACTATTCGCTCCAAATGATCTATTAAAAGAATAGAAAGTAATAGTTTTAAGAAATTCATAATTAGTAGGCTATTTGTCTAGAAAACGAATTTCCAGTATTTAAGTAGGCTATAGTAGCATATTTAAGCCCGTTCACACCAAGAACAACTTGGTTATATCGTCCACAACAAGGTTCTGTTTATTAAGCGCACGCTGCAGTAGCCTATGCCATAGCCTATCTGCCGCTATCAAACGACTGTTTAAAATTATATAAAATTAATTTTAAATTATTTAAAATTGAGAATTATGTTTCTTCTTCTAAACACTTGCACTAAACAGTTCTAAACATGCTTTTGTTCTTAAACAGGTGTTTTCGACCCCTCATGGGCTAGAAGTTCATGTGCGGCGGTCACATAGTGGCACGAGGCCCTTCGCGTGCGAAATCTGTGGAAAAACGTTCGGCCACGCCGTCAGCCTGGAGCAACATAAAGCTGTACATTCACAAGTAGGGCCTAAGCTTGCATCATCACAATATTTCATAATTCTGCCAGACGATCTCACTAATGACATTTTTTTCCGGCAGGAAAGGGTCTTCAGCTGCAAAATATGCGACAAAAGCTTCAAGAGGTCGTCCACTTTGTCCACGCACCTCCTCATCCATTCTGACACCAGACCGTATCCCTGTCAGTACTGCGGCAAACGATTCCACCAGAAATCGGATATGAAAAAACACACGTTCATTCATACAGGTGATTTATATTTTGATGAAAATAATGCACATACATTTTTCTGTCAAGTAGCCTACTGTTTGTGCAGTGATAAAGTCCATGTGAGTCAAAGTTTTGCTGAGACTAAAGAAAAAAAAAAAAGAGAAAAAATATTCTTTATATATTTTACAGGTGAAAAGCCCCACAAGTGTCAAGTGTGTGGCAAAGCCTTCAGTCAGAGTTCAAACCTCATCACGCACAGCAGAAAACACACAGGATTCAAGCCTTTCGGATGCGAACTTTGTGGCAAAGGCTTTCAGCGCAAAGTAGATCTGAGGAGGCACAAAGAAACACAACATGGACTAAAATAATAAGACCAAAAATATTATTTTTATGACTCTTTGTTTGCACGTGACACTTTGTAGAATTAGAAGGTAGCCTAATATTGTGTGGTTTTATGGATTAAGGCAATTTAGCAGTCAGAAATTTCAGATGCTCATGACAATTCCCGTTTTTTGTAACAAGCTGTGATATTTTCTCTTTGCCAAGTATTAAAAAAATTAACAAAATATCAGTTCTTATATTTTTACTTCAAAATATGTATTAAACATTTAAATGGATTAAAATGAAATGCTCCATCATAAGATCAATATGTAGGACAAAACAAATTTCATCAAGTCTGTAAACACATATTCTTGTGATGGTTCCAATCCTTACAGCAATTTACATTTACATTAACATTTAGCAGACTTGCAAGCAATGTACCTGTCAAACAAAGTAGTGGCTTGAAAATGAACATTTGAGGTAATTTATGTTGTAGAAGAAAACATGAAAGTACAAATTAACCACTACACCACTTTAACCACATATTTTTAATCTAAGAATATATTCTGCAATGTGTTGTACTGCATTTTAAGGTTTAATAAATGTGTTTAGAAAAAAAATCCTGACGTCATCAAGAGCATTACTTTGCATTTGCATTTAACATACTGGAATTTTTCAGAGTGAAGAATCCTTCAAAACTTCTGCTTAAGAGTAAAGAAGGTTTTTTTCCCCAAGCATATAAACAATGGATAGTTACAAACTACTAGATATCAATTACTTAAATAAAATATTGAGTATTTAAAAAGGAAATGATGCACAGAATCATTGTTTCAGGTAGGTTTTTAATATAAACTAAATGTGTGTGGTACATTATGTTTGTGGAGTAACAAAGGGTTTGAAGAGCAGCATGAGATTGTGTAGATCTTTGTCCTCCAATTTCAGCTCGCTCATGATAGAGGAGATGTACTCCAATGAAGATGGACTAGCCAATGACTCTCTTAGCAATGGTGACACTTCTGTTAATCTGAACAAATAAAACAGCTTTAGCACCACAGGCATGTAAACAGGTATGATTCAAAACAAAGGTTAGAGAGAATAGAGAGCACTTTGAAATTGTCACAGACAGAATATTTAACTTCAATACTATTAAGTACACACCTGTTAATTAAATGATCTGTTTAGGTATTGAAAATAATGATTCAATGTAAAGTTAAACACAAACACCTGCATTTATGCTACTTTAAGAAGTCATCCATCCATAGTTCTTCTTTCTCGAAGAGAAAAAAGGGTTATTGCAGCAGCTCGGATTCAACCTGTTCTACAGTTTCTGGTGCTTTATCTATTATTGAACTGCTCTCAACAAAAGCCCAAAAGGCCAGTGGCACACCTGACATAAGGCACAGAGAGGTGTGCTTCCAAATTATTCATGAAGGGAAAATAACAGGCCCATTGCTGATAAACAGATTGAAAGCCTCAAATGGTCTCTGAAACTAAATGTAGATGAGCAGCCAAAAACAGTTTGAAATACACTGAGATCAGTGAACAGTTATTTCCAATACATAATGTTATTAAAGGTATTTTCAAGCACATCATTCCAAACATGTCCCATCAAAACTAACACTTTAGATTTAGTAACACTATTCACTATTTTCCAAGAGTTTTCCCTTAAAAAAAACGTATTTATAGCAAGAAAGGTAGTCGTTGTAGTAGTTATGTTTAGATATGATGTAGGGTTAAGGGATCTAGAATAAGGTCATGCAGAATGAGGCATTAATATGTGCTTTAAAAGTACTAATAAACAGCCAATATGCTAGCAATATGCATGCTAATAAGCAACTAGTTAATAATGAATAGTGATCCCTAATTTAAAGTTACCAAACAAAGTTATAACACATACTTTTGGGGGTTCTCAGAACATCACAATTTTTACCCTGCTGATGCACATTTGTTCTCATGGGATCTAATAACCAAACAAAGCTTTTCTTTGATGAACTGGTGAAATTCTCCAGCCAGTCAATAATAAATCAGAGCCATGTCTTTAGGCAGATCTTTAAATGAGGAGTGGTTTAATTGGGGTTGCATGTTGGCTCTTCAGGTGGAATGTTTCCCATGCTGTTACTGCAGCATCACGGATCCACAGCAATCAGGCCGTGATAAGATATGGGCTTCTGTTGACACAGCCAGGGAGCAGCACGGAACTCTCCTCAGAGTTAGTGGCTCTGTCAAGCATTCATAAACCTGAGGGAAGTCATACACACCACCTGGCACTATACAAACATGATTGTGTAGCCTTTTCTACCACACACACATTATACGCACTTTAAAACAATGTAATTTCCTTTAACAGAACTGCAAGATGGCATTCTGAAACTGTCTCGAGTCAATGACAAATAAGAGAGTTACCAGTAAATCAAAGGAAGAATCTAGTTTGAAATGTGCAAAAATGTAATTATAATTAACATTTTCCTACCATATATACATGTGAGTGTACACACCTTAATAATTTGATTTAAATAAATAAATATATTATATATATATATATATATTCTTTCTTCAATTTTAAATATAGTTTTAAAAGTTTTTATTAACAAATATCATGAATTATTATATTTGGGGAGTCACAGCTTATTACATTTTACAACCTGGGCTAAACTTGCCTCGCCATAAAAATATCAAATTATGATATTTTAGAGACTTACTGACCTTGACACATAGTCATGAGGGTCTACAGGGGTGCTTTTTATGATATTTTGATTTTCAAAGAGTTTTATTTTTTTCTGCATATAGGTAGTGCTACATGACAGATTTTTTTAATTAATAGAGCCAGCAAATCTCTCTCTATATGTGTGTGTATACATACATACATACATACATACATATACATATACATATACATATACATATA